GTATCACCATCATCATCATCATCATCATCACCACCACCACCACGACCACCACCATCAACATCATCATAATCGCCATCGTCACCGTCATCATTCCCATCACCACCACAACCACCACATATTCACATCATCAGCATCATCATAATCGCCATAATGGTTATCACCATCATCATCAGCATCATCAACATCGGGATCATCAACCTCATGCTCATCATGAGCATCATCATACACGTCTTCATTCGCACTCACATGCCCATCATCCGCAGCAACACTGCTATGCTACTCCTGCTGCTCCCGAAGGGACAGAACATCAGGCTGGAAGCGCGCTCTATCATCGCTCTGAACCGTGCCAACTCAACAAGCAATTGTCGCTGCATCTTCTGGAAGGCGGAGCCCGTTGGGGAACAGCGCATTGACAGGAACCTCTCCACGGCATGAGATGACTTGACATCTTATTTACCATTGCCTTCCCGTAGCAGCATCTTCCTGAGCGCCTTGGCATCCCTGACACCGTGTCCATGCGAACTCCGCACACTTCCCAAATGTAGGATCCTCGGTGATGTGCAAATACTTCATGGGGTATCACCCCGTAATGATCTCAATCGACCAACGTCCCGCGTTTGCGCGACAACATATCAAATTCGATGCCATGGATGATCGGCGAAGCTAGTCTCAGCGTCTATCCAGGACGTGAAAACAATAAGATTGCGCACGAAGGCAATGATGCAAAGCACACGCTACATATAATACCAGCACTGCCCCCGTCTGACGTGCCCACGAGACGAATGACAGCGCAAGTGACGCCCCCCGGCGTCGACGGCAAAAACGTGAATACCGTCCGCGAGACCGAAACCAAAGCGTCGACGATCTCAGTGCCAGGCGGTCAACGATTCCTGTACAAGCCATGCCGGCACGAGATGGAGCACATGAGGCAAATCATGCAAAGCCCTTGGAAAAAAACAAATACATAAATCAATAAATACACATACACAAAAGCCACCAAACAATCCAGCAGCACGCGGACTTCGTTCATACGAGCGGCCCTTACCACCAGCAGTACCCTGAAAGTTTCCGAACGCGAGGGGTGCGCAGCTGATCATAAGAAGCCGCACGGTTTGCGACCCACCGCATTGCGTCATCCGCCGCGCCAAGGACTACCAAAACGGTTTCGAAAAGTCTCCACTTGACGTCGTCTGGGCCAGAGAAGCACTGGACGCGATGGACAATCACCTGCACACAGCTGGGAAATGTACAACGCCACGAAAGAAGTCTCACGCACCCTCCCAGTCGAATCATTCACGGGCGCCTCGCGCCGCTGCACGCGTGCAATCGCAGACAAAGTTTGGATTCCAACGTTGGCTTGTTACTATTGAGGTTGTCAGGCGGCAAACGTTGAAACACGGATTCCGCCTATATGTGCATGCGCGGTCTGGCGAAGACGGGCGGCACCAACACGATGCAGAGAAGCGTCGTGGACTCCAGCGTTTGGCCTGGACGGACGCCGCGCACGACGACCCTGACAGCCTTGCTTTGCAGCCGTCACTTCTGTTTTACGGTGTTGCACGGGCACGCAAAACACCGCCCAGGTGAGCATTAGCTCGCGCCCGCCCCACCCTCCCCTTCGCCGCATCCTCCTTGTGCCCATCCGACCCCCCCCTCCTCATCATGCCCCTCCTCCTCCTCGTCATTCCCCTGCCCCCTTTCCGCCACTGCGCGGCGTTCCTCCTCGCCGTCCTCCGCCCGACGCCTCCCTCTGCGCCGTTGCCACCGCCCCCTCCCACACGGCCACGCGCAGTTCATCCAACCTCCGTGTGCCCCCTCCGTTTTCCTCGTCCTCGTGATGTTGGCACCGATCTTGCAGTTCCTCCGATGCACAGTTCCTTCCCTCCTCCCCCTTTCTTCCCCGACCCCGTCGCAAGTTTTTCTCTCGCGCCCTTTTCCCTCCCATCGCGCATCATCCCCAGGCACCCGCGCCTTTGCCTTCCAAAACCACTGCCCCTCCGAGACCAGCTGGGCTATCGGCGCGAACTCCCACCCAGGCGCAGCCGCAACTGGTAGCGCGCAGCACGTGCACAGTCAGACACACACGAACTGTGCATTTCGCCCGCGCGGAAGCCCCCCCGAGGTCAAACCGAGAGGAACGCGAAACTGTCCACACAGAAGCCACGTCCCGCGAGAAACACACTCCAAATACACAGATGGGAGCACGATCTGTGCATACAGATCACACCACGATCTGTGTAAACGGTGGCCCCACACGCGCAATTACCGAGTTGAAAACACAAGGTGTGTACACTGATCACACTGTGATCTGGGCATTTCGGACAGGTGAACGCCCGCCACCTCGAGGTACCCCTATTTCTTGCCAGACCAGTACCGAAGTCGACGCACTGGGCAGGAATGCGAATACAAACATCCCTCGCCAAGGCGGCCCCCAGGGACCGCAAATACACATATATCAGGGGCCCAAAAATACGGCCACCGTGGAACGCGGCGCCAAGGTTGCCCCCAACGGCCCCAAGACGCCCCAACAGGGCCCCGAAAAACCCCCCAAAAAGGCCCGACAACATGACAGGGGACACATGTCCCCGACGTATGAGCAAGTATAGCTCGAAGCGTCGCCGTTTGGACCACTGCGCTGTCACGGTGGCGGACGTTGCCGCAGGCACCGACACCTTACATCTTAGCGTTGCGACTGTGTGTTGGCAGCCGGCGGCGCTCGCGCTTGGAGTACGCCCCGACCGTTTGCAGTGGCCACGCCCCCTACTTTGCTGGTTCGCTGTGCCCGGATATCGAACGGGCAATACAATGCGAACGCGGGCGCGCGGCCCCATCTGACTGACTGACTGACAAACCATACACCAAGCGGTGCGTGGGCATGAACGCTGGCTTAAAGAAGAGCCAGGGCCTTGGCTGCACGCCGGGCCACTGCGGTCGGCTACCAGTGAGAAGCTGCACTTGTGCGCTGGGGGCCCACGGCACCACGAACGGGAACGGCGCGCAAATGGGTCACACTGGGACGACCAGGAGGAGGAGGAGGAGGAGGAGGAGGAGGAGGAGGAGGAGGAGGAGGAGGAGGAGGAGGAGGAGGAGGAGCACGGATGGAGGAGGAGAAGGAGGAGGAGGAGGACAGGGTGGGACGACGGATGGTGGAGCACGGATGCAAATGGGAGGAGCGAGGAATTGAGGGGGAGGAAAGGGTGCGCTCCTCCGCCAGAGCCGCGGCCGCCCTCGACCCCATCCAGGGGACAGAGAGAGGAGGTGCGAGCCAGGGAGAGAAACGGCGACGGAAAGCAACATGTCGACGGCGGTCTGCAGATATACCACATTTGCGAGGCCGCCTCCCCCCAAGGAGCCGCAACGATTTTGAAATTGAGATTTTTTTATCATGTCGACGTCCTGAAGCTTGGCATTGGGATGGCATCGTGGGCCGCCCTAGCGTTATCGCATTGTCGCGCGCCGCTTCCTCCTGCTGCTGAAACGTGCCGCGCAGGCTGCGAAGGCGCGACCAAGGCGGGCCCCCACCCGAATCGCAATCATGTGGCACATGATTGCGATTCGGGTGGGCGCGAGTCCTTCGAGGCATGTCGTTCCCGATCCCTACTGAATTCACGAATTCCTCCAAACCGTGTGAACACTGTGCCCTCTGCACCTCCTCCTATAGAACTGCCTCGCAAAGGAGGGCAGTGGATTCCCAGGCAGAGTCCAGCAGGAGACATGTGACGATGGCATATGTGAGGATGGTAAGTGTGCTCGCCGCCGCAAACAGCTCACTCGATTCTACGTTTGCCAAATCCTCTCTGCCTCCCACTCTGGGTCTCCTCTTTGTCTCCCTACTCGACACTACAGCTACGGCGAACAGCCCATTCCTCTTTGTCTCCTCTCTCTGGGTCGGAAGCCTTGCTCTTGCATACCAACCTTGCTCTTGCATCCAGAAACCTTTGGCTCCTTTTCCTAGCCTTGCTCTTGCATCCAGATGGCATCACGCCCATGGCCAAATCGACGAAACTCTCATGCTTCTGCTCTTGCCGAACAGCATCCGCGCGCGTGCCCTGCCTCGGCGATCGCCTCTGAAGCAACAGGCGGCCGTCTGAGAAAGAAGGCAGGCCCTCCTGAAGCCGATCGGCGACTCCGAAACGTGAGGCCTGCAAAAAGGATGTGGGTCGCATCGCGCGCCCTGGGGCGCGGGCGAGGACCTCGACAGGGTCCTCCGCCGCGCCCCGAAAAGGCCCGACGAGGACAACGAGCCTGACCGCGAACCACACCCCATCGCGACCGCACGCTGGGCAGTCGCCGAACCCAGACCTCCGACGTCGTGAACTTTTCACAACGTCGACCCCGAGAGATCGGGACCCCTTCCCAGGGATTGATGTCTCATGCTCGGTCGATCTTTGACGGCCCCAGGGCCTGGTGCCCGCAGAGGCCGAAGATCGAGAAAGACCCTCCGTTATGATTGATGATTTCAAGACTCGAGCGGGCCCCGGGGCTGCTGTGCGCAGGGGGCGCGGGCCACAAAGCGCGCTGACAAAAACCCTCCGTCGTGTTCCTGTTCGCAATGCCGCCGCACCGCCCCCCCCCCCCTGGAGCAGGGACCGACCGTCCTGGCATTCCCAAAGGCCTACCACGAGATGCGCTTAGAATCCCAAAATGTTCGAAGGACAAAAACCATCTTCTTAGAACATAATCCCGATGTGTTAAAACAAGACAGCCCCAGCCAAACATATTCTAAGAACATCCAGTGCCGACCACAAAAAGTTCTTAGACCATCCTCTGGTGGGCCTACAGTCAACCAGAAAAGTAAGGATGCGCAATAAGGATGCAAGGGCCTCGGGCGCCCATTTCGAAGCTGTTCGAGCGGGGCGCGGCCAGCGAAAGCGGCGAAGGATGGACCGAGGAGGCAAGGATGCAAAGGTTCCCTTGGGAGGGTTGCCCATCCTTACGATGCGGGTTGACTGTGCAGGCAAGCCAGAACACTTCGCCACTGCTTGACCCCCACGCGGAGCTCCTCTGGCCCGTAGGCTCGCGCTGGGGGCGGCGGCGCCTCGGGCGCGCCCAGCATCCGGCCGAGCTGCGAGGGCGCGAGCCTCGGCGGCGCCCTAACGCAGGGGGACGGCGAGGACGACGACGACGACGACGACGACGACGACGGCGGCGACGACGGCGGCGACGACGACGACGACCACGGCGACCACGGCGGCGGCGACGGTGACGACGCCGACGACGACGGCGGCGGCCGCGGCGGCGGCGGCGGCGGCGACGACGACGACGGGGCCCAACCCGAGGTGCTGCCGCCTCGGGGGCGGCGAGGGCAGTCGAAGGTCTGGCAGCCAGCGCTCTGTAGAGAACGGGTGTGCTAGCAGAGGTCACGATGGCTGTGGCGGTGAGGCAAGGAACAAAAGCCTCTTTGCGGCGGCGTGGGTGTGGCGGCGTGCGCGGGGGGGGGCTCTTCCTGAGGGCTGCTTCATAGGGCGAAAGTGTTGTCACGCCATTGCTCGGACGTCCATTCCCCGTGCGCTTGTCGTTTTCGTGCGTGCATTGGTCGCACGGTGATCCAGGAAGCTCCTCGATGGTCCTCGAGAGAAAAATGAGCGCGTCCGAGCGATGCCAAGTTGTCATGCTGCGATCGGCTCAAGATGAATCCTGACATTTATGTGAGCTTCTGGCGGTCATCGGCCCGTCGTGCTGTCGCCTCTGGCCGCGCGAGGCAACAGGAACTCTGGGATTGCTTGAGACGATGTTACATATAAGTATATGGATTGCTGCACATGTATATAGGCTTACAACAATCAACACAGACAATCGCAAACACACACACACACAGCCAACAACAACAACAACAGCAGCAACAACAACAACACGCAGCTTACCCGCATGCGCGATGTTTGCACACGAAACATGCGTCCATCGAGATATCCATCCACATCACGGGAAACTCGTGCTCGATAGCGGGGTCCGTTATTCCGAATGAGGTTTTGCAAACACCTCAACCCGAGGATTTTCAAAATATCCCGCCTCGAAAACGCATGCCCGCGCCTTGCTGCGCCGATGCGAGACCGCCAGTGGAACCCCAGCGAAGGGTAAAACACAAGGAAGGATCGAACGACAGGATTGCCTTGGTGGGAATGGGGGCAGTCGGCGGTGACGCAAGGACCTGGCCCTGAATAGAAAGGGAGGAAGTCTCGAGCAGGGCTGCTGATGTTGCTGGGAGCGGCGCGACTGCTGAAGAGAGTAGGGTGCTAGTCCAGCGTAAAACAAAACGAAGTCTCGAGCGGGAGCGCTGTTTTTGTTTTGGGACGGCTGCTTTCGGCGGCGAGGAAGCACACCGCCTTTAGTAATAAGGGGGGAAGCCTCGAACGGGAACCGTGGTTTTGTCGGGACGGGGGCTGTCGGTTGTGAGGAACAGCGCAGTCCCGAGGACAAAAAAAAACAAATCTGAAGCAGGAGCGCGTTCTTGCTGGGAGCGGCACAAGTTCAAAAGAGAGCAGGGCGCCAGCCAAGCGTAAAACGGAAGGGAAGGACGTCCCGGGCGGGAACGCCGGTTTTTATGGGGCGGCGGCTTTCGGCGGCGAGGAGGAACACCACCTTGACTAAGAAGGGGGGGGGGGGCATCGAGCGGGAACCCTGGTTTTGTCGGGACGGGGTTTGTCAGCGGCGAGGAACAGCACCGCTTTCAGGAAAAAGGAAGGAAGCCTCGAGCGGGAGCGTTGTTCTTACTGGGAGCGGCGCCAATTCAAAACAGAGCAGGGCACCAGTCCACCGCAAAACGGAAGGAAGCCTCGGGCGGGAGCGCTGGTTCTGTCGAGGCGTCGGTTTTCGGCGGCGAAGAGGAGCACCGCCTCGAGTTAAAAAGGAAGGACACCTCGAGCGGGAGCGTTGTTTTTGCTGGGGGCGGCGCCGATGAGAAAGACTAGCGCGCCAGTCCAAGCGATACAACGGGAGGAAGTCTCGAGCGGGAGCGCTGGTTTTGTCAGGACGGCGGCCTTCGGCGGCGAGCGAAAACACCAGCCCTGAGCAAAAAAGGAGGAAGTCTCGAGCGGGAGCGTTGTTGTTATTGGGGGCCGGTTTTGGCGGTCCCCCAAACCGCTCAAGCGTGAGCCTCATTTCAATGAAAATCTAGCCGGCGTTTCGGCGACGCTTCGGCGAGAGCGCCAGGGCGCCTATAAGGGGCCCAACCATAAATTATTGAACGCTTAACTTCCATACAGGCAACAACAACAACAACGACGACGACGACAGCAAGCACCAACAACACCAACAACAACTAGCAGTTTAAGACTGCTTGCTCTTATCTGCTGGCGCGTCATCCAACATGCGTGCCCCAAACCCTGGACACCCACCCTCTTCGTCTTCGATCACACCCCTTTTTGGCGGGTATATTCACCCCCTGCCACGCGTGGTTGGTGAAGCCCCTGAAAACTAACGGCAACAGGTGACGGGGGAGTACGAGGGCGCAGGGATCGGAGGAAGGGAGGGGAGGGGCAAGAAGGAGGGAGGACGATGATTTGCGTTGCGAGTGGCGATTCAGATTGCGCCATGGCTTGCGCTAGCCAGTCCAACACAGGTTAACAATAAGCTTCGCCATAGGTCGCGCCATAAACAGCGCCACGCACCCCACCCCCCTTGAAAGAACATATCGTGGATACCCCCACGGGGGGACGTACAGCTGCAAACTGGTGTCAGGAACAAATTTCGTGGAACCCTGAAAAGAAGCGGGATGTTGGGAGAGCGGGGCGGAAGGATAGTGAGAACTGAGACCGTGTCGAGAGGAGCGCGGAAGCCCCAAGCGAGAGCGCGATGTTTCAATAAATTGTCGGGAAATATCAAACGGGAGCCGCGATCCGGTGGTAAATTGCGAAGAAGTCCCAAGCGAGAGCGCGAATCTTCACTAAATTGTGAGGAAGTATCAGGCGGGAGACGTTGTTGTTGTTGTTGTTGTTGTAAACGCGGGGCCAACGACACAGTTTGACCCTCAAGACTTTCCCTGATAAAAAACAAGGTGCGAGCCCCGGGAAGGGCACTTCAATCGAACAAAAAACAATGTGCACCGGACGGGGGGGATCAACAATAACTATTCTTCAGAAATGAGGGTTCAACAGCAACAACAACACCACCACCAACAACAACAACAACAACAACAATCACTTTACCCGAACGCTCAGTGTTCTCACCAGTGCCAGGGTTTCCATGCGACGCCAGCCAATACCCCCACTTTGTGGGGGGGCAGTGCAAGCTCTACCAAATATCCACACGACTCTTCGCCACCACCCACACCCAGCTTCCCGCCCTATGACGTTCGGACACTTCACTTCGTGGCCTGCGGACGACCGTGGCTACTACACTGGCGTGGAGTACACACCCACAGAAGTTGTTAGGACAGCGCGCGCGGGTAGAAATTTTGAAAAGTCGTGCAGGTGTTTTTCGAGGACCTACGGTGCGATTCGTGTGATTTTATGATGCGCGGTGCTAAAATTCTTAAGAAGCCCAATGGTTTTTGGAGATTTCGGCGTGCGCGCGCGAAGAAAAAACGAATGTGTCCCGCATGGTATTATTTGACAGGGATGATGGCCCTGGCAGGTGCGCAACCGTTGTCGCAGAAGTTCGAAAAAGTTGCTCGCAAAAGCCCGTTTGACAGAAATGTTTAAAAAGTGTTGGGTTTCCTACGAATCCGCAAGAGCGCGCGGGATGAGATTTTGACATTTTTTTGTTGAAAAACCATTGGTTTTTTGATGTTTTTATGTTAAAATCGCTCCGAACACTAAGCTTTTGGAAGGATTTCGTCTTGCGCGCGCGAATGTCCACTTTACCTTATTTTTTGCAAGGGATTCTTGAAATTTGATTATATTAGAACAAGAAATGTCATTTTATAGTGTTTTTTGCAAGGGAAAACGGATTACAACAAAACAACCGGATCTGGATCACATCGTTTTACCTGAGGCTTCCTCACGAAAATGATGAAAACGTGGCTGCGGCCTAGGCGCGGCGGGGGGGGCGTGCACCAGGGGGCCCAACAATAATTATTCTTTAGAAGTAATAATATTCAAGAACAACAACAACAACGCCAACAACGCCAACAACAACAACGACAACGACGACGACGACGACAACGACAACCACAACAACAACAACAACAACAGCAAAAACTACGACGACGACGACAACAATAACAACGACAACAACAATAATCAGTTTAAGACTGTTCGCTCCTATCTGCTCACGTGCTAATCAACACGTATATCCCAAGCCATTGGTACCCGCCCTCGTCGTCTTCGAACGTACCCCCTTGGGGGCATATCTTACTTACCTGCCACGCTTATGTAGCGCAGCCCCTGAAACAAGGGAAGAGAGGACGGGTGGAAAGAGGGAGGGGGAATCTGTAGCACGAGCATAATCAGCAGGAGGGGGGCAAGGAGCAGAAAACGGGTGGTATAACCTGACGGGCACATCAGGTTAGCAGACCCATATCTGGCAGGTCGGGAAGGCAGGCCCGGGCGACGAGGTCGAGCAGGCGGGTTGCTGAAGCGTGGGTCCTGCATCAATCGCGAGGAAGTCTCGATCGATAGCGCGATTCCAAAGTAATTCGTGAGAGAAGCCAGCACGGGCCACGAAGGGCATAAAATCCGAGGCCACAGAGGGCAGCGAATGGGCCGCTGAGGGCAGCACCGAGGACCACGAAAAGCGGCGAGGGGGCCACAAAGGGCAACAGCGGGGCCACGAATGGCATGCATACGGGGCCACGACGGGCGCGAGCGAGCGGGGACCACGAAGGGCATTCGTATACGGGACCAAAAAGGGGCGACAGCGGGGCCACTGCGGGCAGCAACGGGGCCACGATGGGCGACAGCGGGGCTACGAAGGGCATGCGAATGGGGCCACGACGGGCGCGTGCGAGGGGGGGGGCACGAAGGGCATACAATGCGAGGCACAAAGGGCAGCGACGGAGCCACTGAGGGCAACAAAGGGGCCACGAAGGGCAGCGAGCGAAGGCGACCGCGGAACCAGCACGGGCAGCAAGGGGCATCGAAGGCGGGCGAAGGGCAGCGAGCAGCGACTGTAGTCATTACCGGGTTGGTCGGGCGGGCAGGCC